TGTTGTTTTCGCTGGAGTCAAACTCCACTTGCGCTTAACGTAATAATAGGCAATGCGTTTAACCATTTAGCAGCAGTCTGCAGAATTCTGGAAAAAAATAATAAGATTTCGGACATAAATGCACTGTTTACATAAAACGAAAGTAACATAATGATATGAGGACGATAGAGCTAGAGTAGCCTAACTGGAATTTTTATGACTTGACTTATTTTTATAATCTAAAAATATTCTACCTACAATGTATCGTGCTCATGTAGATACAGTTATCTACAAGAGCGCACTGACCGAAAATTGTTAACATAATTCTTACACAAATAATAGTACAAGTTAATTGCGCATTATATTTTCCTCCTTATTGAAAATCATCTTATTTATTATTAGGCCACTCTGCCTCTAGCAGCCTCATAATATCTTACTGTATATAATACGCTCGAAAACTAACTCAATTCCCTCTCTGCCACTCACTTCACTTGAAAGATGGCTCATCCACTATTCTGGCGTCCATCACGTACACTGTCAAAATATTTTATTAGCTTATGTTCCACTTTTTGTTGCAATTAAACTTTTTGAATGCTATTTGTATCTCATTTACATAGTTTGTGATTTTTGAAAGATGTTCTAGTTTCAAAAAGTTCTGGGAAACCAACAGTTTGCCCAGAAAAGGAACGAGAATCATCAATAAAAAAGTAAATAAAAAAAAAACCTCTTTAATTCGGCTTCCTGTATCAGTCTATTTATTTATAAATACTTTAAATGACAGTTGCAATTTTAATAAAATACATTTAATGGTTTAAAACACATTACACAAAAAACAATACATTATAATACATTGCCACGGCTGGTGCAAAGTATCCGAAACGTCGAGCCATAGTTAAATTAAATTTCAAAATAAGTTACCTAATATATTATGCCGTGTTTTAAACCGTTGAAGTGTTTTATTTAAATGTTGCTTGCAATTACGTTTCTGAGTTTTGTTATATTTTTTAACTTTCTATAGCTGGTTACTGTTTAAGAAATGCAATTCACTCGATCGTTCCATAGACTATAAAATATGCCGCCTATAACACTATCCTTTTATCAATTCAAAATGTCAAGTTACGAGATACTAAACTATGTGGGGAGCATAATTCACACTATAAAAATGACATTTTATGCACATTTCACAGGCACGTACGCTACGGTTTAAACTTTCAGAGCCGTAGACACCTTGCCGGTCACGTAGTGGTCGCGAAAATATCAATTTTGCATTTAAAAGACGTACGTTAAAATATTCTTACCTGCCCGTGTTATTTAAAGATTGTTGATACTATTTCTTTTCTTAAGTTAAAAGAAGTTAATCACGAACTATTCCTCATAACCAAGGTCGGGTTTTTTAAAATTCTATAAACATAAAGTTTGACTAAGATATTAACTGTCCTTGAAGGCACGCGAACTTTCCAGACTTCTCTCTCTCTAGTTAAAATATAAAGTTCTAACAAGGTGGTGTTTACTTCTTAACTTGTACAATAGACAAGAATATAATTTATAGGGAGACGGAGTAATGCAATATCTTACACATTACCATCTTCGTGACTAACTATTTTATGATATTGCAGTTTTGCCTTGTTGTTACAAAAAAATCGGAAGTTTGTTGTTATAGAGGAGGACAGACAAGTATGATATGAGGCCGCTAGAGGCAGAGTAACCTTACTGCAATTTTATGACATGAGTTATTTATATTGGTACAAATGCATTTTCGCTTAAGTTAATTGCGTATATTTACTTTCTTCCTAATTGAAAATTTTTTTTTTTGGTATTAGGCCTCTTTGCCTCTAGCAGCCTTATATTGCAACAAGATGAGTTGAGGTGTTGACCTATTTCGGCTTTAGATATTCAAAAAACCTAAATGCGATTAAACTTACCGACGAACGATATTCCTACCACTCTTTTTAATTTCCAGGAGAAGACTTAAATGTTTCATAAAAAAATTAATCGATTAAGACCTGTTGAACCCGATGAGATTTGAACCCATAAGGGGGATTAGCCATACCATTAGACCAACGAATCCAGGTTTGACGTGAAGATTGTTTTCTGAGAATGTAGATTTTTGAAATCTTATTGAAATATAAAACGCACAACTTTCAAATTTTTCTTTCTATAGAGGCTGCTTATTACGTGGCCTGATTTAGAAGTAAGTTATTAGGCCAACATGAACAGGAGCGGATGCAGACAATGACGGAAGTGTTCAAATAGCGACGACAAATTTAACATCCTACATTCCAGAATTGCTATTTTCGCGTCAAGTCCTAACAATAATTGAAACCTTTCTAAAGAAATTATGTATTAATTGAATGAGTGTTATATACTAACTGTGTCAGCGACTTCCTCCGCATATAATAGTTATTTTTGGCATTCAAATTTGTTTGTCTTCTGCGTCTTTACAAGCTTTATTAAGCTGTTACCCGCGACGTCGTTCGCATTCTGTCGTTATTGTTAATTGTTTTAAAATATAGATATATATCATTGTCGACTTTTTTAGATAATTTAAAGGGGAATCATACATATTTTTTGGGTATCTTGAAACGTTGTCGCAGCGTACGCATTGGAAACTCACAAAGGTTTTGTCATATTTCCTGCTGGTTCTTCGCTCTTATTAGTCAAAGCGCGATGTTATATAGTCTTATAATCTTCCTCAGTATATAAAAAAATAATTAATAAAAAATATTTTTTCTCTTGTATGTCTATATATACTGTTACAATTATACGTAGCAAAAAAGTATGTAATATTGTAGATATATTAGGTTAAGAAACACTTTCGTATAATAATCATTTTGAAAAGGATGAAAGTTTTTATGTAACCCTACATCAAATGGGCTAATTTAAAGATTCGTTACCTGTCTTTGGGATCAAAAATTTTGTTCATTAACTCGAAGTAATGATAATTATCGTGTTTTAAGGCCAGTCCAATTTATATTATTATCCGGGGACGTCCCTAATTTGCGTCATTGAGTGCTCCAAATGCTGTCATTAAAGTAACATCACGATATGGGGCTTTTGACAGTTAATGGCCTAATGGCATATCAATACTATAATAGAAATTATTCAGGACAATTTTGAGTGATAGAGGTGTGAAATCTATGCATTTGTGTCTAATACCCACTTTTAGGGTTCAACACTCAAAAGCTGAAACCAGAACCTAATTACTATAACCGTTTCTTTTTCCGTCTATATCTTTGCAAGGTTGTTTTTTAAGAACCGCGATAAAGTTATGTTTTTATGTGTATGTATTATGTTGTATAAAATACCCTGTTTTTACTAACTTTTATTTACTACTAGCTATGTCAGGGACTTCATCCGCGTAGAATAGTTGTTTTGGGCATCTAAATTTGTTTTTGCAAACCCTCTACATCTTTATATAATTTAAGCTGACGACATCGTTCGCGCCCCATCGGTCATCGCTTGCGACCCGTCGTTCTTGCAAGTTAATCTTAAGAGATAGACATATAGTGTCGCGGAACATTTTTTAGTTTTTTTAGTGGTAGAAAGAAAAATAAGTTTTTCATAGATATTTTTTTGGTAGAGTTGGGTGTCGTGAACCGTTTTCGCAGCGTACGCATCCCAAGAAGATTAATGATTTTCCCCGTGTTTTATACATTACCCACTGTTTCTTTGCTACTATTATCCCAGCATGATGGTTTATATAAATGCATTAACCAACACAAAACAGAAACTACCCTGAGATTAACGTGCTTAAACAAACTCTTCGGCTTTGTATATTTATATTAGTAAATATAACGCTATTTTGTATTTATATATGGAATTGATGAAGTATTCCAAAATCCTTTCTACAGATCACGCTGCAACATTTAACCTTAATAAGACATTTATAAATATTTACTACTTACAAATAAGCGAAATGTAGTAGTTGAATTTTATATTTACATACTTGCTATTGCTATTAAATTTAGTTTCCTATATGTTTTTCGCAACCGTATACTTAAAACACGAGCTACGTTTAGCTTTTCCGCTAGCTAATTATTATGATAGGAGAGATTTAAAACAGGAAGTACGTCAACGGAAAGAGGAAAAAGTTGGGGAAAATCAGACTGTGGACGGGCATGAGGGCAATCCTTCGAGTACTGCTGCAACATGGATGGGAAACCCTTAAAAATAATGGTTATGAACGGAGCTTTAGATGCTGAGAATGAAAGAAACTTGTTGAAAAATAAAACGAGAAGAAAAGATTCAGACAGAAAAGAAGAAATACAATATAAAGAACAATAATTAGAATACAAAAAAATCTAACAAAATAATCTATTATACTTAATCTTGTGTAGGCACAAAAAAAATATTCGAACTAAAACAATTATTATAATTATAAGGATTGTCTGTAGTTTACACGAGTAGTTCGTATTCTCGATTCAGTCGTTCGGTGTCCACTGCTGGACATAGTTCGTATTAAAATACTTAAAATGGTCTAGGACGTGAAATATATCCCTGCATATGGGGGGCATCCCCATGACTACGGCTGCTTAAAAGCATCCAAAAACATTAAAAATTGTTTAATTTAATATTGTAAGTTTGTTTGAAAATTACTTGAAAGACATTTTTATTAGATTTAACATTGGAACGAGATGAGTTTATGCTGGCATTGAACTTGTTTACGCAAACGTCTGCATCGCATAATCGATAACACTACACACATTACAGGAGCATTAAATATAATTAATGATAGACGTTATCGCTATCAACAAATATGCTGATAATTAATTGTGATACACTGCAACATATAAATCTCAAATTCCAATCATTTTTCAGTACTTGTATATTATTTTCATAAAATGATTATTCGTAATTGTAACGATAGTTTATATATAGGCGAGTTATTTGAGTTTCCACGTTATCTCGCACCGAAACTTATCTCATTCTGCTCACACTGTCATTTTCCTGATAGCGCGGTGGGATGCGATGGCCTTTGATAACAGCAGTCAGTACTATTTACACCTAGCATTAGTCTAGACATGAACGTCGCTGTAGTCATCGGAGCGGCGAGCAATTTAGGATACCACGTACTGAAGAAACTTATCACGCTCTACGATGGCAAAATCTATTACACGACTGAAGATGAAACGATCGGCTACCACATATACGATTCCCTCGACAAAAATCAAAGGCTCGAATACTTCAGAATGGACATAACTTATACGAAAAGCATCATCAACTTGCGTCACCTAATTCAAGACAGAGACGAAAGGATAGAATTGCTCATAAATATAACTGACTACGTCGCGGAAAAAAAACTGCCTCGCGCTGAAAAAGTTCGCCGCACTCTAAGCGTTAATTTTTATGGTTACATAAATTTCGGTAAACTAATTTATCCTTTGTTAACGGAGAATTCTCGCGTCATCAACGTATCCGGCCCCGCTGGTCTTTTAACTACGATTGAAAATGAAGACATCAGAGCAAAAATTAGTGATCCAAACATAAGTGAAGACGAGTTGGTGGCCCTCATGCAGGAGTATGAAGAAGCAGCGAGACGAGGAATCGAGAAGACTGAAGGTTGGGGTCTAAGTGTACACGCTGTCAGTAAAGTTGCCCTTAACGCTGTTACCTTTCTGCAACATAGAGAATGGTCTAACAAAGGTGTAGTCATCAATTGTGTTAATCCAGGTAGTTTATCGAATCGGGAGGATAGAAAATCATTAAAGGTTTATGAGGAAGGCGCGAAGGCCATTTTGTTCCTGGCCACTGAGGCACCGTTGACTCTGAAAGGTAATTTTGTATGGAGCAATTACAACGTCATACCCTGGAACACGGACCCGTACGTCGAAGTGACCACAGTGTAGTGAATGAAATGAGGTTAAATATCGGAACATTGTGAAATGCCCAGCGGGTATTTATGAACTACTAAAGCGGAGCCTCTTCTGTTACGAGAGAATTTAAAGTTGCAAATTGTTAGGATTTTATCGTGATTTTTATTTCCGCTATAACTGTAACTGGTACTTTTGTCTTTGGAATTTATGGGCTATAATAACACAGGCTAAGCAGAGCTCCTATTCACGCGGTCATTAAAAGATGAATATGTCTCGAGTCTCGTAGTTAGCACGATGTACGGTGTTCAATTCGCTCGAATTTTTATAGCGTTCTTGTGGGATATACAGTACTGTGGGCAGTGTTTACTTGATTTAGGATCAATAAATAAGATATTGTATTAGACTTATGTTTTATTTAAAAAAAACGGTTTAAAATGCGAAATATATTATTTTACCAATGTTAGTATATTTTAACTTATATTCAACTGCGACTCGATGTTGCGTATGCGTATGCAGCTCTGGCCACGGGAGACTAAAGGTTGAGGGTGTCCTTTTTGTCAAAAATAAATCTGCTACACTACTATATTTGGTAAACAAGAGGATACCAGTCCATCACTGAGTCACAGCCAGATTCTCCATATACCAACTAAGACGAAACAGATGTCAGTAGCATAGCAGATTTTACTTTGATAGGAAGGATATCCTTTTTTCCTCTCCTCTCTACCCATCTTCAGTGAGGACTGATGTGAAGACATAAACACGGTTATTGCAAAGCGTCCGAAACGACACGCCATAATTAAGAATACGTTAACCAACATTTTTCGTGTTTTAAACCGTTAAATGAATATTATTTAAATTCTTTCATAACCGTTTCTTACATAAACCACATTAACAAACAAATCTCCACTTATGACAAGGTATATAAAAATACAAGTACAATATTTATTAAACAAAATGTTGGAGTATTTTCAATAAACATTATCGAAGCAATTCATAAACCGAAAAGGTAGTCAACAACTTGTAAATTTTTATAAGTCATAAATAAAAGTTGAGCTCGTTGTGGTATCACGAGTTCATTGCATCTTTTATGGCTGTTGTTGTGATTTTCTACTTTTGTAGACAATGTACTGAATGTCGTGTGTCGTTATCCATATAATTTTTACAACGCTCAATCTATATTATCCACGTATAAAATATATGTCGAATTGCTTTGTTTATCATTCCTAAATTAAAATCGATTTTCGATTGAAAAAAACTACATGGGCAGGAAATGAACCGCTATCCACAGCGGTCCGTGCTAAGGATCTAACCAATTGAGCAATATATATTAATAGTATCGTATTTTTTTTCAATCTAAAATTGTTTTTAAGTTTATTTAATGCCATCATCTATACATATATATGGCTGAAGAGTTTGTTTGTATGTTTGAACGCGCTAATCTGAGAAACTACTGGTTCGAATTGAATTATTTTTTGTTTTTATCGAGATAGGTTATATAATAAGGCTATAAAAGATCGCGTTATGATTAGCAGTAGAAAAGGAACAGCAGGAAATTTTAAACTTGGTCACGGGGAGACTGTTGTTTGTGACACGGCTGCTGTAAAGCATCCGAAACGTCTGGCCGAAGTAAAAATAAGTTACTAACTAATATATCGCGTTTTAAACCGTGAAAGTGTTTTATTTAAATGTGTACTACTCGCGTAAACTATAGACAGCATTTACTTAAAAATATTTTTTTGTCGAATCTATTTTTCGTGTTTGGACAGTAAGTCTTTAATGGTATAGAAGGCATAAGAATTTCTTTAATAGGTCATAGATACGCAAAAGTCATTTTATCAAATCATGCGTTACTTATCACTGGTAGGTATTATTTTTATCTTCTGTATATTCGTGATGATTATTTCAAAACATAAATTCAATTTTATCCCATTCCATAGATAAGGCGTTGCATTACATTAAGGGCAAGGTTTATACCCGAGAAATAAATCAATGATTGTTATCTAACTAAAACGATTTAACGGTTTGAAACGCGATGAATTCGAAACTTCGGGCCGTAGTTAAAATAATTTCCAAATAAGTTAAACTAATATATATCGCGTTTTATATCGTTAAAGTGTTCTATTAAAATGTGTTCTACTCGCGTAAATTACGGACAGTTTTTAGATGACTGGTACTTTCGTGGTCTTATTTGTATAAAAACACTCACGAAATAGACAAAGCAGTTTGTCGTATCGATTCAATCTTTATAATCCATGCAACAACTAAGCAACTATACACATTGGAATAATCAATTCGAATGAAGATAGTCATTAAAAGCGCCATCAAAGTAAAATAGAGCTTCAGTGTTGATGAGTGTATAATTTTGCTTGATTTAAAATCAACACAAAGTAGATGTTTCCTTTGCAAGAAGTGATGAGCTTGAAACTGCTGTCATAAGTTGAAAGAACAACAGAGCGATGTAAGGGGAAATAATATCACGCTGTTTTCTTTTGAGTTGAGCTGCAGAAACTATGCGTGCTTAGATATTATGCTATCAACTTTTAATGGTATGCTTATTGGAATACAGTATCTATGGTGAAGTTATAAGATAAATAAATCAATATTTGAAGTCTCTTTAACTGTTCTCAAACTGTAGGTACTCAAATATTTAAATAAATTATTAGAAAACTGTTTTATCTGTGGTTGACGAGAGACATTTTAATAAAATATGCTTAAAACGCAAAGTTTCTTAGTATTTTTAACTGTACTACTAACGTATTTAAGAGAAAATTTGGATCGCAATTAAGTCTACAAATATATTTTTCATTAATGACCGTTAAATATGTTTTATTTTAAACGAAACTATCTTAACAAGGTGATTTGGTGTTCGCTCCAGGGCTTGCACGGTTTGTAAAAACTTTTACGAATTGATATAAATAGAAAATTCGCCTTTATATATTAGAATAGATGAGTAGGCAATTTCTTTGAACTCCTCTCATTCTTTAAAAAGTTGAAAACTAAGTATAAAGACAGCGTTGGGTCCACAAATTGGCCTTGACGTCCATTATTGAGACGATTGGCTCGTTGCGCAAAAAGTCGAAACTTAAACTTCGATTAATTAACTTCTAAAGTGAAAAGTAGAAAGTTTACACGATCGGAAAACGATTATGCGAAATCTATTCACTTTTAATTAAAGTTTTAAACAAAATATGCATAGCTACGGATTTTAAATGAACTTTCCAATTTACTTAGAAATCCTCTAAGATGAGCAAAGCTTATTGTTTAAGAGACTTATAGCGAGGATTCTGACACACACGAGCGTTTAAAGTTAGACGCAATTAAACACTTTCTCTTTATTCAAATATAACTTAGACGGATTAAATTGACAAGTTATTTATTTAGAAAGGCTTACCAACGTTATGTTACAATCTTACATGCTAAATAATATATTATCAATTCAAAAAAAAAACAAGATAACTGTAAGTAGAAGTACAATAATATTTTATATACAACTAAACATCAAAGTTTTATTTTAGTTAGTTTACTTATAGACCCCATAACCTCTAACCAAGATGGAATGTCGACCTATTTTGTCCTTGGACATTCGGACATCTACCGACTGAAACCGACAAGCTAAACACATCTCGGCTGTACAACCTATGGTCGGCGCCCATTTAATATTCCAATTTTCCATAAAAACATTTAGACAATTGTTGGATTTTGTGGGAATTGAATTTGAGCCCTCTTAATTATTTGACTATTATGGTCACCATTGGACCGCCAAAAGTCACTTCTAGTTCTCGACATGTATGTACAAAAAATTAAATTCGTAATATTAACATTTGTTCCATATCCACGTCTAGATTTACAATCTTCGCAAGTAGAATTTAACTCGACTAAGTGTCAACAGCAGACGCTCCTGTGAGTGGTTTTGACATGAACGTAATGTTTCGGGAATACCCTGATATTGAGGCTGACTTGAATGCTGATGGCAACTTTGAAATTTTGATACGAGATTAGTTTCGTAAGTTGCATCATCTTTGGTAGTCATTGTTTTACAGAATATTTAGTTAAGCTATAATATCCCTGCTTATCCGTTTAGTAACTGTCCATCAAAACTAATTAAGTCGTCGAAAAAAGAAATTACGTTCCTCTCAATTAAAAAATCAAATAATATAATATTATGTTATTTACATATACACATCTAAATAATTGACTTCAACGGTTTAAAACGTGAAATGTATTAGTTAAACTTATTTACAAATTACTTTAACTATGCCCCAACATTTTTGATACTTTGCAGCAGCCGTGGTCACGGGGATCGTAGGTATTTAAACCGTTGTTTTATTTAAACAAAGAATACATTTAAATGAACGTTTAAAAATATGACTTTAAATGCTAACAATGGGTGGTTGAAATAGTAAAAAAGGGTTAATTTTAAACGAGTTAAATATACAACTTCTAATCAGCACTGTATTATTTGTCGTTGCGTTGGGCGATTAGATTTTTATCTTTGCATGCATTGTACCATAAACAAATCATATTAAAATAAAAGAGAAAGCAAGATGGCGATAAAAAGTAAAATTAAATTATTATAAACAATATGTCGTCTTGTGACGTCATCTACGTCGTAAAAACCTATTTCCCAATTAGGACCGTCAATTTGGAAATTCAAGTGGTGTAGAATATAATGATATTTAAATTGTATTGTGTTTATTTTCCAAGTATAAAAATGATAGTTAATAATAAAAAAGTACACGTAATGGCGAGAATTACTAAGAAATTCGCTTCAGACCAGTGCAGTCCATTAGCTTATACAAGGCACATTTGGAAGGCATTGTTTTCGGAACAAAGGGGTAAGGCCATATGAGGATTTTTGCACTAATTATTTTTATTCTGTGCTCTGTATAATGTAGGTTATATGCGAACTAACAATTAATATTTCCATTTTACTCTAGTTATTCAATTATCGGATTTAGTATTTTAAACTTTAATACCTTTTACATGTATGCACTTGATTGCGTTATTTATATTAAATATCTATCTACTTAGGA